TGTTTCTTCATTATTCTTTTGGAGGATTACCAGGATTGGTGACAGAAATGGAACTGACCCCGTTATGTGTGGTATCTAAAACCCAGCAACCATAAATTGAATGCATCGACCAAGCTGGGTGTCCTGGTCTGGTGTTTTAGATCGACCTTTATTTATTTATTTATTTATTTATTGGGTCACACCTGGCAATGCTCAAGGGTTCCTCCTGGCTCTGCACTCAGGAATTACCCCTGGCAGTGCTCAGGGGACCATATGGGATGCCGGGAATCGAACCCGGGTCGGCTGCGTGCACGGCAAATGCCCTACCCGCTGAGCTATTGCTCCAGCCCTAGATGGACCTTTAAATGATGCTGACAGCAGCAGCCAGGCTCAGCTCTCTCACTGTTCTACTGTCCCCAGGGTGTCGAGTGCTATCTGACAGTGACAAATACCCAGAAGCCCTTGTACGTGTGAAAGAAACCCCATCACTGACTATATTGCAAATCGTGGTGCCTCAAATAAAATTTCGTTAAAAATTGAGACTTGTCCTTGAAGTGTTCCCATACTTACAACTCAAAACAAGTCTACCTCTTTGAATCTCCCTTTTGGAGGAACACGTAACACATGAGAACTTATCTTTACTCTGAAGAATTAAAGCCACAAGGAGAGTAATTCAGTGTAGGGGACACTATGTGCCAAATTCTACCACATCTGATTAGGAACTCCGCTCCCCAAGAGATGCAAAGCGACACCACTGCATGGATAAAGGATGGAGGAGGAGGAGGCAAGAGAGGTGGGTACCACACCAGCTTCAGGATGGTGACGTGCGCACCGACCTTCACGAGACACGTCCGAGTTGAGGGATGGTCATGCCAGCCGAGACAAATATCATAAGTCACTGAGAGCAGGGCACACACAGCGCCGAAGGAGAGCCACTGACTCCACACCAGTCTCCCACACTGGGATCTTCAGGACTGAGGACTCTGACTCTCACAGGTTCAAAGCCAAGCCCTCCCATTCTCCTCACCTGCCCTCCCAACCTCCTCATCTTTGGGTTGCAAATATCCCCTGGTCCCTGAAGGTGCTTGAAAACCCAGGGAAAGAATTTCATGTTCTCCGGAAGCAGCAGGCAGGCGTAGGGAGCTGGGAAGGGAGGGACGCTTGAATTTGGTAAGGCTCGGCTGGCGGCAACTGAGTGGGAAAGAGCTGAGAGCAGCCAGGAACCAGGTCACTGGGGCCACCGGTTGTTCTTCTCCACACACTGGGCATGACCCGGACCAACTCACAGCCCTTGCCATGGCTTTCCCTAGCACAGCATCCAAGACCCTCCATCCTGCGGCCCTCCTCTACCTGTCTAGATGCTTCCCCTCCTGCGACCTCTCCTCATCGCTCTGTCTCTGTCGTAGCTGACAGCGGAAACGCAGGAAAATGAATGGGAAGGTAGAAGCCACTAGCTCGGTGAGGAAAACAGTAACACAGAGGGCCCGACTCACACAACAGCTCGGTGACTCCTCAGGCCAGGACCTCAGCAACACCATGACAAGATAGAGGTTGTGGCAAGCATCATAAGAGGGAGCAGGCTTGTGGGGTGAGGTGGGAAGTTCGGGACATTGGTGGTGGGGACTGTCATGGGAATACTGAGTGCCTGAAACAGCTGCATTGTGAACGACTTTGTAAATCATGATGTTTAAAAATACTAAGTATTTTTTTAAATTTTTATTAGTGAGACATCATGAGGTACAGTTGTAGACTTACAAATTTTGGTGCTTGGGTTTCAGTTATACAATGATCGAGTACCCATCCCTCCACCAGTGCCCATTTTCCACCACCACGGATCCCAGTATCCCTCCCACCCTCCATCCCCCCATCCCACCTTGCCTCTGTGGCAAGGCATTCCCCTCTGTTCTCCCTCTCCTTTTGGGTCCTGTGGTTTGTAAGAGAGGCATTGAGTGGCTATCATGTTTGGTCTATAGTCTACTTTCAGCATGCTTCTCCCACCCTGGGAGGATCCTCCCAACACCCTTCATTTGGTGCTCCCTTCTCTATCTGAGCTCCCTTTTCCCCTAGCATGTGTGGCTGGCCTCCAAGCCATTTTTAAGTGTTCTATCCATCACGGGAATATTATTCAGCAATAAAAGGAACAAAGGACTGAAAGAAGGAATAACGCTCAGTAGCTAGGCACACACACTTGTAGACATACAGTCCACTATAGGTAAGAAAGCGGAGAAGTGTGGAGGGATTAGGCGGGGAAGTAGCATTAGGAGGAAATGGAGAAGACACATCTTTGAGAACGTTCTAAAATCAGTTGTGGCAGCGGCTACACAACCCACAGTTTTGTCAATAGACTCAAACCACTGTCTCATGCATTTTAGATGATTTAATAACACAGGAATCATCTCAATAAAGTTGGCACTTAAAAAATTTGCTCTGCCATGACAAATAGCTATTGGATGACTACTTATGTTGGTGTGTACATTTATAGAGGTGACATTAAAATCCCACACCCTTTTGCTTGTACACACTTACATGCTTCTCACAAATGATGTCTGAAGTTGTTAGATCCCATTTTAATCAATGGCACTTACAGCAATCAATGCAAATAAAAAGGATTTCTGAAATGATCCTTCTTTTATTCAAATCGAATTAAGTTTGATGATCAAGGTCATATGGCTTAAAAACATTGGAGCTGGGTTTTGGACCAAAACCAATGAGATGGATAGTTTGTTGTCAGCAGTCATTAAAATGGTACTCTTGGTTCAGGACCAGATGAAGAAAGGGACATCATTTGTTTCCATTGATTCTCTACTATATGTTGAATTTTATTAAATGCATGTCTTTTTTAGAAATGATTTTGTACACAAATTGAACTGCATTTACACAGGGTGAATGACAGCTATGATATAATCCTCCACCAATCACCATATTCAGTGTTCTTGTTTTCATAACATAAGATGAAATGACACTCCCATTCCACTATGATGTTCCCATCCCAGTAGTTCTACCATATCCTACCTTGCCCTTCTCATCCCACAAATAGAAATCTTGCTTCCAAGAGATTCACTGTTTTCTTACTACCGTGGTTAAAAAATGACTGAGACGGGGCTGATTTTCTCCCAGGTTCCATCATTTTTTAACCACGATACCAACAGTGAATCTCTTGGAAGCAAGCATGCTGAAAGTAGACTCTAGACCAAACATGATTGCCACTCAATGCCTCTTTTACAAACCACAACACCCAATAAGAGAGAGAGAGAACAAAAGGGAATGCCCTGCCACAGAGGCAGGGTGGGATGGGGGTTGGGGGGAGGGATACTGGGATCCGTGGTGATGGAAAATGGGCACTGGTGGAGGGATGGGTATTTGATCATTGTATAATAGAAACCCAAGCACAAAAATTGTAAGTCTACAACTGTACCTCATGGTGTTTCACTAATAGAATTTTTTTTTTTAAAAAAAAGAATGCTATAATCTGAAAAGAGAGAAAAAAAAAACCATGACGGGGCCAAAACGAAATGCCACAGCCATGCTGCCGGACCCCGCGCCAAGCTGTTTCATTCAGGGCAAACCAGACAGAGGCAGGTGAGGCCCCTCCCCGCCCCACAAGAACCAGCCCTGGCAGCCCAAAACCTCCAGAACTCAACCACTGCCATGCTCACGGCTGCTCTCAAAACACTCTGATGAACCCCATCCATAAGTGAATCTGTTCCTGGACCGTGTAAATGCATCTTGTACCTCACACCACCAATATTCCAGGAGTGGCACATCACATTTGATTGGGATTAAAGTAGAAGGCAACCGATTTTAGGGGGAAATACATTTATACAGATATACGCACGCAAGCCTCCACCTTTAACATGTTAGTGATCTCTTCTATGTGGGCCTAATGGCTCCTGGGTGAAATTCAACAATCTTCACACACTTTCCTCTAAGAAACCTTTCTTGTCTCATTTTCAGTGGATTCTTTATAACAAGCAATATAAACTAAGTTATTTCAGTTCTGCTGTGGGGGTAGGGTTTGGGATGGAAACATGGTGGTGTGAAGGTGTAACGGTGGTGGGATTGGTGTTTGGATATTAAACACAATCAAATATTGTGAACGGTCCCCTGAGCACCGCCAAGAGTGATCCTTGAGTGCAGAGCCAGGAGCCACCCCTGAGCACCCAGGGGAGGCCACCAAACAAACCCCAAAGAAAGGAGTACGATGTCAAAAGGTTACCCTGTGTTTGTAAATCTTAGTGGTAGGATCCTTCTGAAGAAAGTAAACCAGCTCTTCGACCTGCCACTTAAGACAATGTCCCCAGAGCCCTGCTGACCCGCTTTGTGAATCCACTGGTCTTATTTACACAGGGTAAGTGAGTCAAACGCAGCAACCTTAGGAATGGGTCCGGCCGGGGCTTCGGGGCCCGCCACATGGCCCTTCTGAACTCTCCACGTTAAATGCGGGTGGAGGGGTCTATTAACTGTTGTCCGGGTTTGGTCTGAGGTTTCCCTCCATCTCACCATAGCTGGCATCACGTAGCTGGGCTTTTCCTGAAAATACGGCCTTACTCTTATTGCCACTATGGGTTTTGCTTACCCACAATTCACTTTTCTCTTGAGATCAGTGGGGAAAGGTCAAGTCCTTCTGTGGCCTTTCTCACACGCCCTGAGCAGAGTCGGGCAACGGCAGGACGGACTCCAGGGCTCCGAGAGCCAAGGCCGAGACACAGCGCAGACTTCACGGAGTCTCGCTGCCAGGATTCTGGAGGAGCTGTGACTGGGGGGACGGGGAGGCCCCCCAGCTGTGGGAAATACTCACCTGCTCTGGGAGCCACTCAGGGGCTGCAGTGCGGCCTCGGGGACACCAAGCTTCAGGGGCCATTCCTGGCAGCGCCTGTCCCTGCCCCGGCCCACCGGGGCGCCCCCAATGCACAGGGATACCCCACTGGGCTGAGAATCACTGGGAGTGCTCCCTGGAGCCCCCCCGGCACTGGCGGAAGGTCCCCTCACCCCCCACTGCAAAAATGCCACCGGCTTCTAAGTTATATGAACCATTTTAATGCAAGCAATCAATAAGGCATTTTCCCCATGGCTCCCAGAATTTCATCTCTCTCGGCAGCTGTCGGCATATACGGCTTCACTCCACTCTGTCTTCTTTGAACCATGATAGAATTCTGTCCGTAGGGAGAGGGAGAGGGAGGGAGAAAGGGAGAAAGGAAGAGAAGGAGAGAGGGAGAGAGCGAGAGAGGGAGAGAGAGAATCAGTTATATAAACTGGCCATTCCTTAGTAATTCTGTGCTTCACCAAAAAGAAAACTGTAGACACCAAATTCTAAAATATAAATCGATCCTAAGGCTTCCAAAGTTTTCAAACTATTAGTAGTACTAGTTACTCCCATGGACCTATGAATGCATGTTTGATCGGGATGGGGTGACCTATCCCCAATCAACACGAGAACACAAGAGAAATGGCTCTCCTACAGTTCATCTAGCACAGGGGTACAGCCACACACCAGAAAGGCTGTTCTGTCAGGAAGGACACATGGTCCGATGGTGGCCCTCGCCCCCGCCCCCGCCCCCTTCCTACTGCCTGGTCAGATTCCAACTGTAGGGCCACCATTCATGCAGGTGGCCGCAGCCTGGGACCCTCTGCGTGGACGACTATCTCTTAAGAGCAGCACCTTCCCGTGTGCTTGGCTGAACCTCCTGTTTTGTTTTGTTTTTTTTGCATCTAAGTCCCCTGCTCATGTGTTCACCCTGTCACAAAGATGCCTGGTGCAGCAGTTGGCAGAGGTCAGTCCCACTGTTCAGCGAGGCCTGAGTGCAGCCAGATGCCATGCCCGCAGAAGGAGCAATCACGCCCCATGTCTCGGGAAGAGGCAGAACCCAGCAGGCCAGCGTCAACGGCAGCGCCGGGGAGACGGCAGAAATGGAAGCCCGAAGCGAGTTAGCACAGGGATAGTCACACCACATCTCCTCCACCAATAGAATAACTAAGATGGTAACAAGGCTCTGGGAGAGGACGGAACCCCCCATCTGAGGGCGTGTGCTGACCCCCTGGAGGAGGGGAAGGAGCCAATGGAAGATCTACAGCAGAACTTCACAACCAGGACCGCATGGGACCCCGTGGACCCAAATCACATAAACGGGGCCACCGCACGAGCCTCGGGGACCGGCTGGCGGGACAGAGGGGACTCAAGGAACCAGTTCAAAGTGGGCCATGGCTGAAGAAAGGCTGAGGAACGCTGTGGTAACGGCTCTCTTTCAGACTGAAGGAGTGCAGGGGACTGAAGGAGTGCTTCCCTGCGGCCATGACCAAGAAGGTCACGGGGCCAGAGAGACAGCAGAGACAGGTTAAGGCCCTGCCTCTCACACAGCGGGGTCCCAGCTCCACACCGGGGCCCCCAAGTCCCACCCGGAGTGATCCCTGAGTACAGAGCCCGGAGGAAGCCCGGAACACACTGAACGTGGCCCCAACACCACAACGAAACAGAGGACTCCGGAGGATCTAAGGAGGCTGGCTGATGTTAGCGTTCAGTCACAAGTCTCAGAGGCAAGACTCCACACACCACTAACAAGCTGGGCTTACCCAAAATTTCCGGCAGTTTTTGTACCTCATGAAGTAACTGGAGCACCTTTCCTTGTCATAGTTGTTTTCATTCATGCATCTGGTGGAAGCGTCAGATTCCTTAAAGATGTAAGATAGGCATCATTTAAGAGGTGATGGGATCTAAAAAGAGCAAATGAGCGTCACACTGCTGAAACTGCTTCCCCCAAGTAACGAGCATGAAACAGTCCCCTCCTGTTCAAATGAAGCACTGTAGCACTATCCTCCCGTTGTTCATCGATTTGCTCGAACGGGCACCAGTAATGTCCCACAACAAATTGTGAGACTTGTTGTTACTGTGTTTGGCATATCGAATCTGTCACAGGTAGTTTGCCAGGTGTTGCCGTGAGGGCGAGATACTCTCAGTAGCTTCTCGAGCTCCCCGAGAAGGGTGGAGGAATCAAACTTGGGTCGGCCGCGTGCAAGGCAAATGCCCTACCTGCTGTTCTATCATGAGCTCAAATTAATAAAGAAACAACAACAACAAAAAAAGAACCAACCACTCCCCTACCCTCACCCCTCAAAAAAAAAAAATACCTTTCCAATGATCCCAGTTTCCATGTCTGGATTAGCTTTGTGAATCTATGGCCTCAAGACTCTGAGCCAAGCACTGACAGGGCTGGACCCAGGAGCCACTGGCAGGGGATGCAGAGGCACAGTCCACGGGTTCCCAAGCCCAGAGCCCGATGACCAGACTCAGAGCAGCCTGCTTGCCTCTCGGGATGTGTGTCCACGTCCATGCTGGCCTCAAGGGCCCACGCCCACCGGCCAACAACTCCATCAAGGCAACTCAACTCAGCACCATTCATCTCGACCTATGTTTGGCTATCGTTCACGCCACTGTGTGAGCACATACATGACGATGTGAGCAATTTCAACTGATCCCCACTAATATCACTGGAAAACCAAAGAGACCTACACAGGGCCGTGATCCAGAGCAGGATGCTGCTGCCTGGGAACGAAAGTGAAGCTCTGGAAGCTAACAGCAGGCTGGATGACAGCTTCGGAGGGCAAGGTCTGATTCTCAAAAGGCATCAAAAGGAAAGTTAATTTAAATAAAGCTGTAATTTGCTTCATAGACTTGAGAAGGGCTGGAGTGATAGCACAGCAGTAGGACGTTTGCCTTGCACGCAGCCAGCCCGGCCGAGCCGGGTTCGATTCCTCTGCCCCTCTCGGAGAGCCTGGCTAGCTACCAAGAGTATTCAGTATGCCAAACACAGTAACAAGAAGTCTCACAATGGAGACGTTACTGGGTCCGCTCAAGCAAATCGATGAACAACGGGAGGGTAGACTTGAGAAACACGAGAAAAATCTAAATAGATTTGGTACTGTTTCTGCTAACAGATCTAAAATTCAGAAGAGACCTAAATTTCTTGGACAGATACTTCACAAATATGTCTAGTTGCAAAAGATATAGATTAGGTATAATAATTCTTTTTATCTTTTTTTGGCTTTGGAGGGGTCACACGCCCGGTGATGCTCAGAAGTTACTCCTGGCTCTGCACTCAGGAATTACTCCTGGCGGTGCTTGGGGGACCATATGGGATGCCGGGGATCGATCCTGGGTCGGCCACGTGCAAGGCAAATATTCTACACGCTGTGCTATCGTTACGGTCCCAAGGTGTTATAATTTTTAGATTACCAGTCTGATGTGTGCATTAAAGGATGACAAAGCCATAAGAACTGCTCGCTGTACCAAATCAATGCCAATAAAAGCTTCTCCTAATAAAGTATTTTGTTTATATGATGCCTCCGTGAAAACTGTCTTTAAATGGGCTAACTCTTACCAATTCCTTTATTCTTAGCCACACTGCATTCAAGGGCATGATGAAATCACTGCTAATAAGATACAAATTTCAGTGATTTCAGACAGTTTAAAATCTCAACCCTTCCCACTCTCCATGTCTGCCGGAAGGGTCCTCTCAGCTCTTCATATGCCTGCCTCCTGCTATTTCAGCGACGATGTACCTGATTCTCACACACATGCACAATTCTGAAAAGAAACAAGTCCTTATTAGCTAAACTGCGGAAACCTAAAGCTATTCTAGTGACTAGAAAGAGAGGGGAGGCCAGGAACACTTTCCGTTCTGACTTAACTTCACACAAGCACCGCGCAGAGCGGTCACCCACCCAGTGAGAAGCACCCTGCTTTGCTGACTTCACTCCTGTGAAAAACCGAATTGCGAAGGAACTCACCGACAAGCAAGGGTTTATGTCAGGGTCTCTCAGTCTCCGCGCCGCCAGGGGCATCCCGCCCGTCTTCTCACCGCAGGGAGGGCTGGGGAAGACACAGGGGACAGCAGGAAGCCAGTCAACCTCAGCAGCCCATCAACACTGGGAAAGGTCTCTGTGGCTCGATAATTTCCCAGTAAGAAATGTGTGTGGCTCTGTTTGCAGGATGGGTCACACCCAGTGGTGCAGGGAGCTACTCGGACCCTGACCCTCCCACTTACAAAACCTGCACCCCAGCCCCTCGGGGCATCTCCTGGTCCCAGAATGGAAGTTTCTGCATCTTCTGCATCCTGAGAATAAAAGGTTTGGGGGAGTTTCTCCTTCATTATGACGCCTCCGTGCGATGGCCATATTGAACTGAGTTGGGCTCAGATATCTAGAAAAACAGCCCACCAAATAGTCAATCTTTGTTTATTCTTATTCCAATTTTGTAGGCAATGAAATGTAGTGACAAAGCCCAAGCACCCCAACAGCTTCTTCATTACCTTGATCAGCATACCAAGCAAGGATGGGATCACTTGGTACAACTCAAGGGCAACAAAAACACTTAGTGATGCGAGTCCCTGAATGCCTGCCCTGTGGACCACACGGCAGTGGCCAACGTCGGACAACACCTGTCCTGATGACACTGCAGAGCCTTTAAAGGAAGGAAAGGAGCTGAGACTTGGCTTCCAGGGACTTCTAGTCAACTGGCACTTAATGGCTGAAGAGAGCCAGGGGGCACTCCTGGTGTTCGTTCATCTTCTAATTTAAGTCTTGCAGATACAGCTCTGCGATTTTGAGCGACTTAAGATGATCAGAGTTCCCTAAAGGTCAATTCCAAAGGATGTGCGTACTCAAAATGGGTAGATTGACTCTATCCCGGGACAGCTGAAACCTACAGTAGGGACGCCTGCTTCCTTCTCTTAAGATGGGACAGAAAGAAACTAGATGAGAAAAAAAAAAAATAACACAAGAGTCCACCAACACTCATTTCAGAACAGTGTTTGTTTTCTCTAGCAGACTCTTTTAAATGCTCTGCAGGAGACCAGAACAATAGCACAGCAGGTCGGGTACTTGCCTTGCATGCAGCCAACCAGGGCTGGATTCCCCAGCACCCCATATGGTCTCCTGAGCCCTGCGAGAAGTGATCCTTGAGCACAGAGTCAGGAGTCAGCCCTGAGCACTGCTGGCTGTGTCCCCACATGCCCCCACCCCAAGAAAAAGAAGTCAAGGTAGGGGCCTGGGAGCTAGTACAGAGGGTAAGGCGATTGTCCAGCATTCAGTTGACAGAGGTTCAAATCCTGGCATCACCTAGGGTCCCCCAAGCACCACCAGGAGTGTTCCCAGAGTGCAGAGCGAGATATACACCCTGACTATTGCCAGGTATGCCCCAACCACCCCGCGCCCCCCCCCAAAAAAAAGAATAAAATTGGAAAAATCAAGTCAATTCAACATTGATTGAGCTCCCCTTTGAGCTCAATCATCATTCTTCCAAAGACAAGGAGACCCAACAAATGATGTAACATTTGACCTACTCAAAGCTCCAAAGTTAAAAGTGCATCAGTCAGCATAAACAGAGAGGCCACAATTTTCAAATGGAATGGTTTATACTTTGCTTGTCCAGGGCAGAACCACCAACTGAGTATCAATCACGATAAAAAAAAAAAGTCCAGGGGTTGGAGCCACAGCACAGCCGGGAGGGCGTTTGCCTTGCATAAGACTAACCCAGGTTTGATCCCCAGCATCCCATATGGCTCCCTGAGCATGGCCAGGAGTGATTCCTGAGTGCAGAGCCAGAAGTAATCGCTGAGCATTGCCGGGTGTGACCCAAAAAGAAAAAAAAAAAAAACCCACCATAAAAAACGAAAGTCCATTCAGGAAACAAATCTAACGCTAGGGGCTCCTGAAAAGTGGTGGTCCTACACTCAATCCAGGCTTCTCCCAACTCGGTGCAGGAAGGAGGTGGAAGAAGGAGGAGCAGGACGAGAGGAGGAGGAGGAAGACGAGGAAGACGAGGAGGAGGAGGTCGAGGTCTGGGCAGGAGTGTGCAAATTCTGCAAAGAGCTGCAAACAGCCGAGTCTCCGGGAGTTTTGTAACTTCCAGTCTTCCCGACTGCCGGTACACATCTTCATCCCAGCATCTGTCATCGCACACACGAAGCCGGCCAGCTCCAGAAGCACCTTGCACGGATGCCATGCAGGATGCGGTCCGCGAACACGCGGCGGCCGCGTGCTCTGGGGAAGCCAAGGCGTCGGCAGGCCGAGGGACCTTCCTCCGAGGAGCGAGGATGCAGCCGGGAGCCCTGGCCGGGGGCATGCGGGGCCCTGCCCCTTCCTCGGAGGGCTCGGCCGGCACGGGCGCAGCTCGGCAGCCTTCCTGCAAGCGGAGCGTCGCGCAGGGGGGCACGCCCGCAGCATCCCGGCTGGTGCGCGCTTCCCGGGCGGCCTCGGGGCCGGGTGTCCCTGTGCCACCTCCTGGGCTCGCGTCCCGGGGAAGCGCCCGGGGCACCGATGTCACCCCACGGCGAGGCGAGCCGCGGGGCCGAAGTGCAGGCGGCCGGGCACTCCACGGGCGAGGTCCGGAGCCAAATGCCACCACCCGACCACGGAGCCCCTGCAGGCCCGGGCAACGTCGCGGGGGGCGTGTGCGCGGGGCAGCGGGCTTGCACGGCGCTGTCTGCACCGGCCCTTCGCCCACCCGCGACCCCCGCACTCCCCGGGGGCGCCCGCGCTGCATCCACAGCTCGGAGGCTCCCGGCTGGGCACCCCGAGTGCCCACGGCAAGAAAGGCCGGTGCTTCTCGCGACGGGTGCAACGGGTTGCGGAGGGCGAGGTGGGTCCCCCGCACCCGGGGGTCGCGCTGGGGGGCGCCGGTGGCAGCCCTCGCTCGGCCCCCAGCGCGCCCGCAGGGTCCGCGGTGCGAGGCGGCGGCGGTGGCCCCGCGACGCTTGCAGAGCAGGAGCCCGCGCAGGGGTCACCTCCCGCGGCCCCCGGCGCGCAGAGGGGACACCGGGACGGCAGGAAGTGGCCCGCGCCGCGACCAGGCCCCGCAGGAGGCCCCCGGCGCCGCAGAGGTGAGCGCGGGGTCCCCGGGGCGTCCCCGCGCCCCACCCCCGGGCCCCCGGCCGCCGCGCACGGCGGGGCGGGGAGGCGAGCAGCGGGTGACCACTCACCTCGGGCGGCCGCTCTCGCCCGCGCCGGGCGCGTCCAGCTCCAAACACGTCAGTGGCTCACGCAGCGGGCCCTTAAGTAGCGCGCAGCCCAACTTGCTGCCCCCGCTCCCCGGCGGCCGGCCGGCCAATCGGCGCGCGCCGCCGCCTGATTGACAGCCGCGCCGCGCCCTGAGCGCCGGGGGCGGGCGCGCCCGGCCCCGCCCACGGGCGGCGGGAGGCCGGGCCGGGCGGGGGGAGTGGGCGGGGCGAGGCGGCGCGGCCCCGCCCCCGCCCCGCCCCGCCGCGCCCCGCCGCCGCCACCCCCTCGGCCGGCCGCGCCCGCCCCCGCCGCACTCGGGGCTGACGGGCGGCGCCGCCCGCCAATGGCGAGGCGCGGCGGCGGCGGCGGCCGCGCCGATTGGCCGGGCCGGCGGCGGCGCGGCCCCCGGCGGGGCGGGGCGCGGCGGCGGGCGGGGCGCGGGGGGGCGGGCCGGCGGCGGGGCGGGGGGGCGGCGGCGGGCGGGGGGCGGCGGCGGCGGGGCGGGGGGCGCGACGTCGGCCGCGGCGGCGGCGGCGGCGGCGGCGGCTGCAAGTTGGGCTGCAGGGGCAGCGCATACACTACAATGGCTGCTGGAAAGAGGCGTAAGGAAACAATTTCCAGGCCCGCCGCGTCCAGCCCGAAATATGAGAAAAAAATTATTAGAAATTCCGCGGGCGGCGTAGAGGCGGCGGACGGGCCGGAGGGAGGATGGTGAAGCCCCGCGGTGAGTGCTGCCGGGCTCGGGGCGGCGGGGAGGCGGCCGGCGGGGGCACGAGCAGGGTTATTTAAATTATGGGACTGGCCGAGGGGGCGGCGGAGCCGCGGCGGCCGGAGCAGGAAAAGTTGGTGCCGCGCGCAGCCCCTGCCCGGGACCCCGCGGGGGGCGGCTGGGAATAAGCATCGCCCCGAAAATCCAGCCGGGCGCCGCCGGCGGGGCTGCGGGGGGCTCCCCGGGGCGCCCGCGCCCGGGCGGGGGGCTCCGCGGCGCGGGCCGGGGGGGGACCCGCGGGGGAGGCCGGTGGGAAAAAAAAAGCCCGTTCTCGGGGGTCTGGAAAGTTTGAAAAGTTTTCCTCCCTCTCCTCCTCCTCCTCCTCCTCCTCCTCCTCCTCCTCCTCCTCCTCTTCCACCTCCTCCACCTCCTCCTCCTCCTCCTCCTCCTCCTCCTCCTCCTCCTCCTCCTCCTCCTCCTCCTCCTCTTCCACCTCCTCCTCCTCCTCCTCCTCCTCCTCTCCTCCTCCTCCTCCTCCTCCTCCCTGGTGCTGTGAATATTGTGACAGCGGCAGCGGCAGCAGCGAGAGCGGAAGACATTAGAGACCCGAAAAAAAAAAAAAGAGAAAAATCGGGGAAAAATTCCTATAAATTCGGCGTTGGGCGCCAAGCGCCCGCGCTTTCCACCGACACCTCCCGGGGGCCGGGGGCTCCCCGCGGGGCCCGGCGGGGCGCGGCGGCCGGCGCGTCTCGGGGGTCCCGGGCGGGACGCGGGCGGCCCTCGCCCCCCTGCCCGGGAGGGCTTCTTCCTGGCGGACGCGGCCCGGCCGGCGGCCCCGGCTCAGGTGGGCGACGGGCCGGCGGGGGTCGGGGGGCGCGGGGCGGCGGGCGGGGCGCGGGGGGCGCGGGGGAGGGGGCGCTGGCGGGGCGCGGGCGGGCGGGCGGGCGGCGCGGGGACAGCTTGTTGTCAGTACCATAAACAACCAAAATGGAGGGAGAACTCGGGCATCTAACCCGACACAAAAAAAAAAAAATCGCCCGAAAAAATCCCAAAAAAATCCCCCGGCGCCCGGGCCGCCCCCCGCGCGCCCGCCCGCGGGCCCGGCGTTGGCCCCGCGTCGCCCCGGCGCCCCGGCTCCCCCTCGGGCACGCTTTCGCGCGGGGGGTCGCAGCCCGAGCGGAGTTCGAGTCTCGAGTTATTTATTTATTTCTTTATTTATTTATTTCACGCCCTCCTCCTCCCTCCGCTGCAAAAAAAAAAAAGAAAAAAAGAAAAGAAAACTTTGGGGAAGGCAAAAAAAAAAAAAACCTCCAAAAAAAAAAAAAAGAAAAAGAAAAAAAAAGCAAAAAAAAATTTTAAAAAAAGCGTCTGGAGCTCGGCCGACAATGCGCGAGCGTGTGCGAGGAGGCGGCGGCGGCGGCCCGGGGGGCCCGGGCCGGGCGCGGGGGGCACCGCGGCGCGGGGGTGTCGGCTCCGCGCGCGCCCGCCGCCCCCCGCCCCGCGCGCCCCGGCACGTCCGCGCTCACCTGCGCATCCCGCGCGGGGTCCCGGCCGCCAGGTGGGCGCGCGCCGCCGCCGCCCCGCGGGGACGGGCCGCCGCGAGGGGGCCCGCGCCGGCCCGCGGCCCCGTGGGCAGCATCACCTGGGCAGCGCCGGCCCAGGTGCCGGGAGGGCGTGGCGGCGGCGGCGGCGGCGCCCTCCCCGCCCCTGCCCTGCCCTGCCCTGCCCTGCCCTGCCCTGCCCTGCCCCGCCGCGGGCACCCCTGCTCCGGGACGCAGGCTGCAGCCCCGGCCGCGGGAGATGGACTTGGGCGCAGGGGCCAAGGCGGGACCCCACGGTTCTTTTGTGCGCCGAGCCCTCCCCCCACCCCCCAGTCCCCACGCCCCAGGAACTTTGCACGGTCCCCCTGCTTTGCTCGAGAAGCCGATCCGGGAAGGAATTGTGGAAAAAAAAGGAAAAAAAAACCATGGCAAGAGTTGGAAGGTGTGTGCTGGTGGAGTGGTCCAGCATCCTGAGCCGGGGATGGCTTCCTGCAAGGGAGGTCAAATGCCCATCGTGGCATTTTACAGCCATTTTGTACGTGCTGTAAAAGACCTTAAATGCAGTTTGGCTCAAGGTGCATGCAGGCAGCAGTGCTGGTCTGAATGACGCCCCAGGCGTGGTGGTGCAGAGTCTCACCCTGGCAGGCACCGGGCAGGTCTCTAAGGCAGGGGGTGGGTGGGGAGCACTTACCCCAAAGGAGAAGTCTGCATGGACCCATGTTCCGGACCCCAGCACCCACCCACTCGTGTGCGGCGCCGCCCCTCTGACCTGGGAGGGTTTGCAGAACCCTGAGACCTCTCATTGCCCATCTCTCCAGGGGAGTTTGTGGCACTTGACGGAAAAGTTTGCAGATCACGAACTTCCATAAGCCTCTGATCATTGACATTTCCACAAAATTGGAGGGGGGGAGGGAGAGGAAATCTTTTATAAAAAATGTAAGTTTTCTGCTGAGCTCTGTTGGTGGTTAAGGTTGATCGTGAGTATAAACGACTTCGGTTCTGTTTTCCACAGGTGTATGGAGTTTCAGAAGTCCTCATAGCATAGGTTTTTATGATTTCTAGAAGGGAATGAAAATTAGAGTGGGGAGTCTTAGACGTCTTTGTACGGCCACTTTCCTTGCCATGCTGTGCAGATGATTATTTTTGAAGTGCATTGTATGTTAACTCGTAGTCACCACTGAGCTTGTGTGCACCCTTCTGCAAATGCCCTCAGAACAGTATGACATCAGCACCTGATTGACAACACTGTCCTGGGCTTCCTCATTTGGGAAGCAATTACAGCTTTCTAAGAACTCATTAAAAATTTAATCCCAGGAACCACTGTTAAATCAAAAGTGATTGGAAAGTGATTAAACTGTCAATAGGGAGGAGGAAGGAACTTTCCTTCTTTCCAAAACATTGTCTATCCAGAGGTTTCAGAATATCATTGATATTTTCAAAGCCTTTGATATTTTTTTTGCATGTTGTTACTTTCTTCGTGGAGAGTAGGGAAAAGTTACTGTTTCCTTATGTATCTTACACTTCTCTTACATTGTATCTTGGCAGGAGACAATTACATTGTAGATAAGTGGTCAGAATTGTGTCATGTGTTGCAAAGAAATGATCCTTTTAGGTCTGGGACAGGTGTCACCTTGCCGAGCCAAGGTACTAATGTCGATAACTCCAATTTCTGGGAAAGTGGAGAAAAGACACTTCTGGTTAGGTTAGCTATTGAATCATGCTGTTGGGACGCTTGAACCTATGATAAGTTTATTGTCAACTGGAGTTATACACAACATTGCCACTTTTTTTTTTCTTTGTCACAAATTGTGGTATAAACCCTTAATGTTTGGGTTTTACAAAATCATCTACTTGTCTGAATTAGAAAATGCCTAAGTAGAAAGTCTGTAGTTGAATAGAACACAGTATAGTATCTAATTTGAATTTGTTTACTGAGCCTTTTTAATGCTTTAGAAATACCTGCCAGAGCACCCTTTTTAGCAAGCTACTCAAACTAATTTTGAGAAATAATCTCTGGATAGCGTATTATCTATTTCACTTAAAATTTGGGAAACCTCCTAGAAACTCACCCTTATTTGGAATTTATATGCCTAATTTTGCCACTCAAAATTCTGTAAGAAATTTGACTACTGTGGAAGATGATTTCTAAATGAGGATTAATACTAATTAAATTCTATATACATTATAAACAAAATATTTTCATTAACAGGCATATTATAAATAAATAAGTGAATTTGCTGCTATCAATATAGTTTTTTAATATAAGGATCCTCCTTTATGATTTTAATATTATACAAAGTCAGGGGTTTCATCCTTCATTCTAAATATGATCCGGGTCTTTGTTGTATATGTTTTGGTTTGGCATTGAGGAAAATTTCCTTTCTAAGGATTAAATGATTCTTTGCTAAATTAAATGTAATGCTGCTGTCTTTGAGATTGGAAAAGCCACATAACTAAAGCAAGTATCTGTAGTTATCTTTGAAGTTTTGTTTTAGCAATCATTAGTCTCTTGAACTATGTAATAAAAATATTGCTTCCTTCTAGGACTGTTTCAATATTCTTTATTAAGAATCCTATTCTTTGGGGGAAAATATGTAGAAAAATTACCTGTTCACACACATACCCAGGGGAAAAGTACTAAATAACTTTCCCTACACTGCCTGGAATGATTCGATTTTTTTTAAATGTATGTCCAGAATTTCTAAGAAATAAATAAGAATTTTTCCTTTTCATGTTGATAACATCATAGATTCTTTAGTGGAGTCAGTGGGGAGTTTCAGGAGCAGGAGGGAACAACTGAATCTGATACTCAACAAAATCTGTAAATATGTTAAAGGGGAAAGGACTATAAATTGTCCCTTAAGCATTTTTTTCTTCAAATGCTTAGAGAACCTGGTAAAGACCTTCCATCAAGTATTGAATGCTTGGGAAGTACGTCAATCATTGCAGAAAACAAAGTGAACCTTTAATTTCTTTAATTTTAACAGGAATTAATGTAGGCAGCATATTTAACCAATTAGTAAGTGTTTAGGTAACCTTGGAAAAGCACTTACAAATAAGTTCAGTGTGGGGAGCAGGGTACATTGAATCGATGAACTGTAAAGTTACGTATGATTTTAGAATTCCTACATGGGAATTCTTTTTCATTTTATGTCTTGGAGCACTTTGGAGGTAACTGATTTTTCACTTTTGACATTGATTCCAGTGCCTGACTTGGGAGCAGTGCCTGCCCCCCCAGCGTGTGCTATGTCGTTCCTTGTCCTTTGTAACAGGACAGCTTTGCTGTCTTTGGAGGTTTTTATTTAATCAGAGGAATTGAATGAAAATCTTGAGTTGATAATGTTTTAGGAGAGTGCTGGGGAGTGGCTGTTAGCGTGGGCAGCTGTCAGCAGTGTACGTGTTGGGAGCCCAACAGAGGTGGCTGCGCAGAGGCATAATTTGATTTTTGCCTTTAAGTCTCTTGGCCTGCTGCCC